TTCCTAGCGTGACGTCTTTCCTTCTGTTACTGAATCGTTTGTGTAAATTTGGTGCGCGTCAGGCGTTTCATCAGCGATTTTAAGAGTTTAAGATGCGGACAGTGACGAAAACAAAAACGTCAAAAAACTAATAGGTTCAGTGAATAGCCACGGCAACAACTCTGCTAAGACGCGTCTCATTTTTAGAACAGCCCTCAACACCTGTTCTTAGAAAAACTTCATGTAAATGACCTTCGCTTCTTACACAAGACGCAAACGCATAGTACGCGTGCGTTAGTTTTTGGCGGGAAAATTTTCGCTCGCCCCGCGGCGAACTGGCAGGCTACTGGCAGGGAAAAGTTATTTACAAATTACAACGCGTTTTCGTTTCCTTGGGTTGCCATCGATTCTAAGACTTTTAAGCTTTATTTGTTTCTTCGCTCATGTATAATGAGCGCGCCAACAAAGGCAAACGAAACAAGTGATCCACTGCTGAAGAAAAGGATTTTTGTTGTTATGCAAGGAGAAGGCAATAGCAGATCTCGAGGACAAATGTTGGATTGACGTTGCTACGGGCAACGTTCACATGAAAACGAGTCAAGAACAGAAATAAGACGCGAACCATATTTATACGAGCTGTTTTCGTCTTAGATAAGACCTGCTCATATAAATGGTACAGTTCGCGTCTTATGTAAGACGCGTCTTATTTTTCCTCGTATAAATGGCCCTAGTGTGTGCGTTTACACGGGGCACTTTTTATTTACCATGGTAAATGACCCTTTTACCGTAGGAAATTGCCTCAGCGCGTGTGACCGGACATTCCCGAGATAAATTTACCATGGGAAATATCCATGGTTACGTCAAAAAGAGCTAAGAAACCGCTTATGACATTAAACTTGGTAAACGCAAAGGTTTTTCGATTTCAGATTTCTTTCAGATTTCTTCAACATGAAACCCCCCAAAATTGCTTTTTTAAACGGGTTTCTTTCGCACTGTTTAGATGAAAGAAAGAGGGACTTTTGAGGCAAAATTTTGAACTCGTTTGTTGGGATAGATTTAGAAACGATATTTCCCCAAAATTTGTTCTATCCCTAGTATCGAACCGTTGGATGCAGCTGAACTGTAAAATCGAACTATGTACCTTCGCTAAATTATCCTGAATAACATACCAGTTGAAATTTTACCTATAAAATTATACGTAGTTTTTCAAGATGACATAAAATACTGCCATTGTCGACGGTGGTTATTACCGTAATTGCGCGAATGAAGCCGTAAACTGAAAGCGGCTTAATTATCTTAATGGGAACTAAACTAAACCCACGTTAAATTTACCACGGCTTTGTTAACGTGGGAAATGCCTTTTACCATGATTTGTGAAACTGCATCTATTGCCTGAGGCTTATTACACCCGTAGAAGAAAGGTTACCCTAATCCTACGCCCCTGGAGTAACTGCGATTTCTTTCTGTTTCTTATCTGCAGCTGAGCTATGCCGACATCACTTTCTTTGACTTCTTTAACAACTTCCATTCGAAGGGCAAAGAGGATGTTCCTGGGGAACTTGAGAAGTTCCCGCTCTTGGTGGAGCATTATAAGCGGGTGTTAAACGTGCCCGAAATAAATGAGTGGGTAAAGAAACGCCCTGTAACCGAATTCTAAGCTTGTGGTCTTGCTATTGTAGCAACTGTTAAGCGAGAGAAAGGCCCAAAGCACTTCTAGTGTGTGCTGTAGTCAAACAGCTCCGTGCATCACCGTTGTTCTTTTAAGGTGCAAACGAATAATTAAAAGGTATATTTTTGTATTGATCTTTTGTTCAATGTGCCGATATACCCGGCAATAGTTGGGGACACCGCAGGGAAACTTAAGTCAGGGTGTGCCAAAAACTAAAGTAGCCAGTGTAAAACTTAAAATACTACCATTGCCCTTTCTCTTCTCCTCGCTCTTTCCATTTTCCCTCTCCCTTTCCTTCGCTGCGGTTATTTCTCAGCTTATCGAGCGTAAAATTAAAAGCCTGTCTTTTGGCCCGTTTTTTACTGCAAGTTTCGTTAGGCTCGTTTTCAAAAAATCAGCTAGATATACGATCTGAACATGAAGGATTCTACACCCAAACAGAGGCTTAAGCTAAACTGCAGCGGCCAACTAACAACTCATGCAGATTCAGGGGTATTTTTTTTTCTATCTAAACGTTGTTTTCACCATCGAGCCTGTAAATTAGGATTGGAAAAGGAAAAACTTCTCAAGTGTTCTCTTTGACACGAGCGAATTTTTATATACAGTGAGGCTACTTTCCTGTTCATCGATCTGTAGTTCGATGAACAGAAAAATTGTAAATTGATTAAAATGTTAATTTCGGAAAAAAAACCTGATTTATCTTCTTTGTACAAAAACAAACAAACTGCCATCTTACTTCGTCTATTCATTGTTTTAGTCAATGAGGAAGTCGCCATCTTCTTTATCACTTTCACTCGCTTTGCACGTATTTAGAACCGTTTAATTTTTTCCCGGGATAACTAGTGCCGCGAGGATTCTGGGAACGAGAAACCAATGCAGTGCAATGGAAGCCATGATCATCAACTGCAAATGGGGAAATTGATACAATTTGTGGTCACGACTACACGAAAATGGACCATTTTATGGGTGCTACCCTTGGAAAGGTTTCATTCCTCGTTCTGTGGCATATTTGGACAAACTTAGCGGCAAATATAGCAGTAAATCGCTGGAATGTTGACCATGTTTACGCTGTGTGCGACCACGTTGGCCTCAAATATCTTACAGGTAAGCTTAGGGACCGGTCATTATTTATGTAGAGGGGGGGAGGGGGGGAGGGAAACATTAAAGGGGGGTGAAGACTATTTCAGATTGTCTAGAGAAGGCGCTAAACTTTTTTATAACGAAGTTTAGGGGGGTCTGTTCGCTTATAACACAGCTAAATTTTACGCAAAATGAGCAGTCTTGGGACAAAAACACAAAATTCATTATCTCGAAAAAATAATATGCTACATTCAGTCATGTACATATGTATGTAAAGTTGGGATTGCAAATTCTTTATGCAGTAGAACAGTTTAGTTCACTATTGTTCAAGGTAATTTGAGTTTATGCAGTCGAATTAAGCTCAAAGCTGTTCCATTGTACTAGTTTTTGGCTGTCTGTTCCAATAAATTTCTCTTTTTCTTGCGACACAACATTTCCACTCTGCTCTAGGTTTTATGACATCCCAGTGAAGTTTACTTTTTCGCTCGCCGCGCGAAGCTCTGAGGAGAGAAGGACGGCCGCTTGCGGTCTAGTGTCCGTAAAGCGGGATTCGACGTAATTCGTGAGGCTTACCGTAGAGTAAAGGACAGCGGGCTTGGGCTTGACTTCAGTGAGACATCAGTTTAAACAAATTTAGCTGATATGATCCATGAAGAAGATGCTATTGATTTGTAAGAACCAGTGTTCTATTTCCATACTATGAAGAGGACGAAGTGAAAAAGGTAAAGTATCACAGCATCTGCCATAAAAGTCATGATATCAAACTATAGTGTCCCTGTTCGCTAATGCAAGGGAAAGAAAGAGTAATATGGGGAATTTGAAATGGTTTGAAGAAACCTTTTTTAGGGCTTTCTGATCAAAGTAATGATGAAATAAATTTAATTCCTGCCCATTTATGTCGCGTTTGTGACCCTTGTTTGATTTGTCTGAAAACGGGGATGGATTTTAGAGGCCAGGTCTGAAAACGGCCGGCTGGAAAAAGACACTTTTTCTGATCCGTTCTGGCGGCACATCCCCAAAAAGATTTACCAAAAGAAACCCTTGAGAATGGTAGGTTTCTAAATTCTTCATTGCACGAGCTAGAGAGGTTTCAAAAAGCAATTCTAAAGGCATATTTAGGACATTAGGCCAGCTTTCAGCACATACAGTACATGGTCTATATAAGCAGTCTACTTCCTCATTACATAAAAAGAATTAGGAAATACAGGGAAACCCTCCTTTATCTCTTCCGCAAATCAAATTTGTTCTCAGATTAACTAAAAGGGATAAAAAACAACTAAACTACATAAGAATATCATTTCATGAGTTATAGCTAAAACACATCAATCCCATACATTGACTATCTTTTCAAGAAAGGCAATAAGAATTCTCTTTACATATCTACTGCTTTATAAAAAAGATCAAAGCTCCGACTGAGTAACAACAAAATTAAGGACAAACAATCATAAACTAGTGATAGAATATGGAAGACACTGCTCGCCCCAAATTAAAATTCCTCAACATTTTATATATGAGAGTATACAAATATTGTTCTCTTAGTGAAAAGACGGGAAACACTTTATAAAAAAATTAGTACAAAATTTGCTGTGCATCGGGTCAATTTACCTTGGTTTAAGCTTATTTTCCTTTCACCAGGGGAGGGAATTGGCAGGACTATGAATATGAGTTTTTACATAATAAAAATACAATTTGAGATCAGCTCCACCTTAATTGTGTACTCCACGGAAAGCGTCATGTTCCGCACTGTTAAAAACTATGTAGTCTATAAGCATATTCTCCACCAGCCACCGATTGTGGCTTATAATTAATAGAAGGATAGCTTTCTACCGACAATGTAGTCCTCGTTCGATATCTTTTAATGACACCTCAATGGTATAAGAAATTTCTATCCTAAGAAATTCCATCCTTTATGTACATCAAAGAAGCTTTCTAAAGATTCGCCACCAAGTTGGTGGAAATTTGCATATGATCACTTTTGATTGTAGAACTGTGCTCTGCCTGTAGTCAAGCATATCATTCCGTGATGGTAGCGTATTAAACTGCAAAGCCAACAAACCAAATATTACTGATCATTTACACTCCTTCTAAACTGCGAAAGTTGATTTAAATCTTGTGAACATAGACGCTGAGGACTTAATCATAACTTTAAAAGCCTTGAAAGTGAGAAAGTTGCGGGGTTAATTTTGATGACAGATGATGGTGATGATGAGGATGATAATGACGATGATGATAATGAAAACAATCCGTGAAGTTCTTAATAAAAGCAGGATAAAAGTAAAGGTGGTAATGATAATGTAGATCAGTGGATAGAGCTGGAAGTTAATGCACAAAGTAAAGGACATTGCAGTTTAGTGCATTAAACATAAAAACATCCTTCATCGAACTAGAATATATGGAACCTCATGTAGTGGTTAATCAATAATGTTACAAATACCGACACTTAATCTTTCAATGCCGTCTAAAAAAATTGGTGTCCCCCCTTCTTGCCTTTAGAAATTTTACCTTCCCCCTTTTTTGCCTTAAAAAAATTTCAAGACCGCCCCCGCAAAAAAACAGAGACCAGAGACCAAAATTGATCCGAATGCATCTGAGAATGCAGCCTAATGGCGATAAATTGATTCAGTATTCTAGCCAACCCAGCTGATAAGACGATTATCATCTTATATTTTTATGTGGAATATTTAACTCGCAATCCTTTCCTCTACGTAAAATTTCCGTCAAGGTGTTTGCTTTGGCACGCACAGTACACTGTGTATTGGCCTGTTCCTGGGCGGTGCGAAGCAAACAAAAGAGATGAAAAGTAGAGGGGGAACTGGGAAGAGCTGTGCGGTTTGAGTGAGCGGATGAGTCTATTTAAAACAAATCTTACAGGCGTTCCCTCTCTCACTTCTCCCCCTCCCTCGTTTTGATTTTATCGCGCTTCTTTTTACTTCGCACCGCTGCCCACTATCTGAACACCTGGAACAGGCTAACAGTCTATATAAAAACTTCGAGTAGCCTGTTGCGTGACATGACACGACTTGGTGAAATTTACATACAGTACCGTGATATAAAAAGTCATCAGCAATTAATGAGTTAGCAGTTCATTGAACTTTAGCGGTGCGAGGGTTAAAGTTGTATTTGACTGAAACATTCTGCAGAAATGTCTGGCTACAAGTTGTTCTACTTTCCAGTCCGCGGTGCAGGAGAAAAATGTCGACTTGCATTTGCGGCTGCAAAGATTGACTACGAGGATATTCGATTACCAGCCGAAGAATGGGCAAAAGAGAAAGCGTGTAAGTAAATATAAAAGTTCCGTGAAGCGCGCGACGGTGAATTATTTTTCGATTGTATTTTTAGAATTTTGTAATCTTAAATGGCTGTTTATAGCTGAATGCAATCAAAGCCGATGGCAAATACGAATACCGTGCGCATACATTCGCTTGAATTTCGATCGGTTTTCATCTGGGCGCAAATGCTGTCGTACTGAAATGAATAAATTACTGCTTAGTCACGGGCCGCTGACAAGTGTGCTCACCAGCACACTCGTTTGCTCCCTTGTATGGTTAATTACCGCCGACCACAAATGGTATCAATGATTTTGTTATTTCGTCACTGAATTGAAGTTCCGTTTTCTTCGTTTCGTAGAGGCAATATCTCTCGCTAGGAGATCTAGAGCAAAATGAATTTTTTCCTCAAAAGTAAATCTTGAGGTTTTCTTGTGTCTCACGTTTTATTATGGAAACTTGACTTGTCACGTGGCCAAAATTGAAAATAAAGGAAATTGGCAAATTGGTGGCGAATTTACTTTGTTAGGATAAACAAAGTGGCATTGCTGAAAGAGGATAAACATACCCAGCTTTCCAGTTTTGGAGTGAAAGTACGCGAGGATTAAAATTAAAGTCTTAAATAATTCAAGATTAAATGTGATGTTTTTCCTCATAAATCTTTTATTGAAGTGCAATGGACGGTCATTCGAAACGTGAAGTGTTAGACATACTTAATATGAATTTAAAAAAATGTTATTGTTCGATTTATTTTCTTAAACAGGCTGACCAATTGGTCAATAATTTACGATTTTTAGAAAAACGGTCACAAGACATATCATGTGACTTATTAATACATATTTATACTTTAAAATGTCAAGGACGATGAGTTCTTTACATGTGCCAAATTTATATTAAGCGACATCATCTATGCCGAAGTTATTAACAATAATTCATTTTTCACTGGTAAACCCCTTAGTTCCAGGCCTCAAACTACTTGAATAATAAGAAGAGTTACATTCGGAATATTTTAAAATTGACGAGCTACTGTAATCGAGTACTTTTAATGATAGCTTCTGTGGCAGGAAACAGGGAAAATTACTTGTCTTCTGGGAACGAGCCTGGCTTTGTAAATAATTTCAAGTTACAATTTTAACTGAACTGATCAGAATATAGCAGGGAAACGACAGTCATGTTCTTAAAAGGTCTTCCAAGAAATAAAAATTTCAAGGGATGGCGATGATTGAATGGGGACAAAATCAACCCCCCTCCAAAAAAATTCCTAGGGCTACCCACAAACCCTCTCTTCCCCCCCTCCCCCCAAAAAATCCCTGGACCAAAAATTAACCTCAAAAAATCCCATGCCGAATTCACGAGCCTTAAAAATTTCCAGAAAGCATAAAATAATAACAAGAAAAATAAAATATCAGAATTTGAATATTCTTAACAACATGCACCCGAGACATCCAAGAACATCTTCTGTTTCAGCAATCACATAAAAGCAGAATGACAAGTTCAGATACTTTT